GTGAGTTTCACCACATTTTACAAGTTGGCCACGCCCACTCGGTCACATGGCTGGCAAGCCACTCCCACCTGATCACATGGCTGGCAAGCCACTCCCACAAAGCAGGCCACACCTACAGAAGAGGTTCTAAAAAAATTTGAAACCCACCATTGGATTATAGCTAAGACCTTGTAATCGTATTTTATGACATGCCCCTCTGGACAGGAATTCCCACTCAAGATTGCTTAGGAATTGGCTTCATAAGGGTTGAGTTTCTTGCTATGTAGAATGTAGTGGTGGGTTTCTATTTTTTTACTACTGGTTTGTTCGTGAGCTTGCGTGCACACTCGCTGCTTCTGTGCATGCGCAAAAGCATCTGGGTGGGTGGGTGGGTGGAGCCTCCCGCCACCGCCACTACTGGTTCGCCCGATACGGGCTGAATCAGGAGCAACCCACCTCTGGTAGAATGACATGACTGCTTTAGAGAGCAAATATTGGGCAGAGGACAAACAGAATGTTTGCTCAGCTGGCTGAGTATCTTCTGATGTTACCTGCTGTGAGCCTGGAGAATTTAATTCCTGCTAGTTAGTCAACTGCAAGGCTGGCTTTGCATACTGGGAATCAAGGAGGTGCCTTCTTGTCCTTTACATCAAGCAGCAAATATGATGAAGTAATTTATTTATTCATGCCAGTTATGGTGGGTGTTTTTAGAAAACACTGCATTTAGATGATTATCTACTATATTATTACACTGACTTTGTCTCATGGCATTGGAAATCAATCAGTAAAAGATGTTGAAAACAGAGAAGTAATTTAATTTTGTTTGATAAATCTCTACTTGAGATACTGTAAGGTCTCCAAAAGCTTAGTCGCAGATAAAAATGTTCAAGTGCACCATTTTTCAAAAGTTCTTGCGCTGCAGTTTAAACAAAAGTGTTAGTTATTTTGAAGATTACTTTTTCTCTGTGTTTCTATGTGTTTTCAAACATATGTATGATCATATTTTTTTTAAAAAATATTTTTCCTCCTTTGTTTCAGATATTTGGTGCTAGAACATGTGTCAGGTGGAGAGCTCTTCGATTATTTGGTAAAGAAAGGAAGATTAACACCAAAAGAAGCCAGAAAGTTCTTCCGACAGATTATTTCCGCGTTAGACTTTTGTCATAGTCATTCCATCTGGTGAGTACAATAATTTAGGGCACATGATTTTCAACAAGGGAATTGTTTCAACAGAGTTCATCTGAGTAGGGAACCAACCTTGAAGGTATGTCTTTCACTCGGTTATCATAAGCTGTAACTTCAAATAATTCAGTTCACTCCTCCTTTTCCCTTTCCTTGTGTTCAATTTATCGCTATTTATCGTTATTGTTTGTTTATTCGTATTTATTCGTGTCAGAAGCATCACAATTAAAATAAGGCATACTATGGGACATAAAATTTAAAATGTACAAGATTAAAATATGTACACATTAAACAGATCTTTCCCAGAAACTCCCAACATTAACTGTGTTCTGTTGCGCTGCCATGAGGTGCTCAAATGCCATGTGGTCCCCTATATTTTTTTATTATTTATATTTTATATTTACAGATTGCCTATTGACTTTGCTTGTTGGGAAAGGTACAAATGGTGATCGCTTAACCTTGGGATACTGCAGCCATCATAACAATACATGCTGATTGCTGAATCATTTTGATTTTGATCATGTGACCATTGGGATGCTGGGATGGTCATAAGCGCAAGGATTGGTCTTAAATCACTTTTTTTCAGCATCTTTGTAATTTTGGATGGTTTTGTACATGAAAGATTGTAGATCTAGGACTACTTATGTTATATATGTAGGGAGAGTTTTGCTATAGTTACATTATAGTTTTTAACTTTGTATTATATAATTTTATGTATTAACTGCCCAGAATCATTGTTTTGAAGTAGACATCCATATCAAGCATGTAAATGAACATGTGTCATACAAAACGTTCTCTCAAAAGAAAGGAAAGAAACTCATGTTAAAGAATTTGTGACTTCTGGGCAGCATTCTTGGCTAAATTCCTTCTGGATATTTGCCTTTATTTCTCTTCCAATATAGTGTTGCTTAATTTATCAGTGTGTTATTAATACTCACTTGGATACTGTTGAGTGTGATTCAATCTTTAACTTGCCTGCCATTTTTGGGACTGAAATATTGTAGTTTGGCCTTATGCTTAAACAAGTTTCAGTAAGTTTTCAATTAGACTGAAATGGAGGGAGGATTGTCCCAATAGATGGAATGCAAGATTTCTACTTAACTGCTGATCCATAACTGCTCATTTATTCCTCAGTAGTTATTTGTACAGTTTTGATTTGCATAATGGATAAAAATGTTTTGAATACAAATGGAGTTAGGTCTCTTAGACTAATAACTAGGGAGAAATCAAAAATGTATTCTGTAGAGCTACAATGTCTTTTAATACATTTGCAATGATTATTGGAAACGTATTTGGTGGATTTCAACCCTGTTATATACATAAGAAAAACGTACCCATCTTATATAATAAGATGAGTTTTGCCTTGCTTGTTGTTAGAGGTGGTTATTATTGAGGATCATAAAAAGCCCTTAATCTGCAACTGGATTCAGTTCTAACATTGGATGAAACATTGAACATCTCTTTCCACCTTTCTTGATGTTGCTTGTACAGTTGAATTTGCTCAGGACAGTGAATTTTATCTTAGGTAATACACATATGGGCAATGATAGAAAAAAAATAACCTCTTGTTCTCTTTGGTATTCACTAAGACTTCATGGTGTACTAGTTTTAGGGNAATCTCACCAGGCTCAAGGTTGACTCAACCTTCCATGCTTCCCAGATCAGTAAAATGAGGATCCAGATTGTTGGGACAATACACTGACTGTGTAAACCGCTTAGAGAGGGCTGTAAAGTAGTATATAAGTCTAAGTGCTATTGCTATTGCTGTTCTCGTTCCCTTCCACCTTCTTTCTTATACTTTTCCTCCACACAGACTAAATATGTATCATATATACATATACATAAATATCCTTTGAAATCCATGCTTCATTTTGAATTTATAAAGTATTCCTTAATTTGGTATTTATGGAAGTGGCACGCACATTATTAACTGCACTCTAGATAAAGCTGAAATAAGCTTTTTGATGTGTGTTATGCTTCACTTTTCCTTTTCAATCTTCTTTCTTGGCATGTACACTCTGCATGAAGCATTTTGGCTTCTTGTTCACTAAAGTTGCTGCCTTATTTAATCATGTTTCCAGCCAATATGGAGAAGGGCTCTGGAGTATTTCAGCCTGTAGAACATTAAAAGGGCATTATGTCCTCCATTCACCTGCAGAGTAAGGTGACACTGATCGTGTAAAACATGGAATCAGAGGGATCAGCTGGAAATGAACCAAATAAAGTTCATTTTCCATGCATTGCTCCATTATGTTTCTGCTTTCTTTGGTATAAGATGAGGTTTGGGAGGATTGCGTTTTAATTAGATTATCCAAGCTGCTGGACTTTTAGAAATTGTAGCTTATAGCCACTGTACTGCATGTCTCTCTGCTGACAGCTCAGATGTTCAGTAATGGGGGATGGAAAGCATTAAATATTCTATCAAGCTGAACTTATAACATTACAGATAAACAAATACCCTAGATACCAGCATTACACACCCAAATTGTGCTTTCTGCTGTGATAACATCTGGAAATTAGTATATTGCAATCTTAGCCTTCAGGAAATTGTTCCCGTGTCCTCTGTTTTAGTATTATATCAGTGCAAAACTTTAAACGCACAAAATTGGCATTTAAAGTGAGAGTCACCCATTTGTTCTTATAGTCTCCATTACCTATTCTCCTGCTTCTCCAGTATAGTGTTAATTCATCTTCCTCCTCATTTTTCCAAATATAATTTGTAGTTCACAAAGAAATAATAAGGAGTAAATCAGTGGTGGGTTCCGGACCCCATTGCAAACAGTACCATTGCAACGGGGCCCGGTGTCCTCCACATGAATGCGTGCAGTGCGCGCATGTGTCTTACTGTCCAGTGAAGCCTCTGCGAACCTCTGTGATGCTCCAGCTCGGTGGAGCATCGTGCAGGTGCTGTATGCACTATGTGCATGCGCAGAAGCGCCAAAGAGTTCAAAGACAGGTATGGAGCATGAGCGGGTGGGTGGGCCCTCTGGAGCATCGTACTGGAACGGCACCCAGTGCTCCGGGCAGGCACCGATACACCTGTACTGCGGCATACCACCTGCAACCCACCATTGGAGTAAATATAGAAGATGCTTATATATAAAGAGACAGAACTGCTTTCTAAGCAGATGTAATTCTGTCATGTCAGCAGGAAGACTCAAACAAGGACTCATAGGGAATGTCTTACAGAGTGACAAATAGGGTTTCTTTGTTAGGATAGAATTGAGCTATATTCTGAATAAAATATGCCACTTCTGAATAAACCATCCCTCGTTCCAGCCATGTTGGATAACTTCCACATAATCTGCATCCTTACTTTTAAAAGAAGATTTTGAAGACCATGATAGAGCATCAGTTGCAGGGTATCAATCAGAGGTGGGTTCCTACCGTTTTGGCTGAAGCAATAGTAACTTGGTCCCAGCGACCCAGGCCTGCCACACCCCTGAACTGGTTCTCTCAGTGGCGCCATATGTGCCTCCATCTTGGTTTTGCCTTCTGAGCATGCACAGAGCAATTTTTGTTGCACTGCGCTTGCGTGCGCAGTGCATGCACATGCAGGAGGGGCGGGTCCCTGAGCAAACCGGCAGTAGTGGCAGCTGGAACCCACCCCTGGTATCTATTGCAAGTAAATTATCTGTTTCATCCAGGCTTAGTGAGCTATGGAAATAATATTTTTTTGCTCTTGCGCATGAGTTTTGTCCAGATCTGGCTGGAGTGTATCTCTCCTAGATCTTATAGAACACTTAACGTTGTTCCGTACCATCAACCTCCTGAACTAACTGCAAGTTACTGGTTGGTTCCTCTGTTTTGCAATGGCTCTACTTCTTCCTAAGCAAATAGTTCCAAACAGTAATAATGGGGGATCAAGAGTCTCTCAGGGATCTATCTGGAAATTTCAACTGGTATAGAATGGTTGCCTGAATGCAGGCAGATACTGTAAGAGTTGCTTAAGCACTGATAGCTACATTATGAGCACAACAGACTCCAGATGGCTCAACTCCCTACTACCTTTGGAACTACTTTCTCCAGGCAGAATCTACCTGTCTTTGTGTTCAATCAAGGTGAGTATGCTGTGGATATCCCCTCCCATAGGTTAAACAGTTGCAGCTGGGAGGTAGGCTTTCTCAGTAGTCAACCCATCCTTATCGGGGGGAAAATTCCCTCAGAAATTAGTATTCATGAAAGTAGTGAAAAGTATTTGAGGGTTACATTGCTGACTTCTGGACCATGTTTTATCAGATATATTTAGTCTGTAATTTTAATATTTAATGCTTAAATCTATTTAATTTTAAGTATTCAAATTTTATCTGATATTTCATTTGCTTACTGTGCTATTTGAGTAGTCTGTTGTGAAGACTGTCAATTGTCCAGAGTCAATTTAAGAGTCTTTTAAACAGGATGGGATATGAATCATTTAATAAATAGAGAAACCAAACTAGGAGAATTAGAGCAAACCAATAATATCTAGATTGTTCCAAAGTTGCGAAGGGATGGTACACCGAACAGTCCTTCTACAAAAACAAACTTTGGAACAAAAGTACCATTCATGATTAATTTTAAATTACAATTTAGTGTTTACTATCTCGTTTCAATGATTACTGGATACACAAATACTGTGGGAAAGGGAGCAGGAATCATTCTTCAGTACGGAACAGTGGTGGCTAGTGGTTAGAACGCAGTATCAGGCTAATTCTGCTGGCTGCCAGCAGTTCGATTCTCACCGGTGCAAGGTTGACTCAGCCTTCTCTCCTTCTGAGGTCAATAAAAAGAGGACCCAGATTGTTGGGGGCAATGCTGACTCTGTAAACTGCTTGGAGGGAGTTATGAAGTGGTATATAAGTCTAAGCACTGTTGCTATTGCAGAAGGAGGGCACCAACTTTTTTAGCTTCTCCTTTTTAATTAATAGAAAGAGGACCTAACTAACCTGGGTTGTTGACCCAGGACAGATAGTTTATGTAGAACAAAATAAACAGAGATAAAATATTTAGTCTGGAGT